TCCGGGAGCCCCACATCTCGATACTCCACACTTGGTTACCGCTGTCCCAAACACCGCCGCCCACTGACGTGCAAAACGCGCATAAGTAGAGTTGCCACATGTGTTGGCAATAGGGGTGTAGTGTTATGCCAATGCCCGCCGATAGTGTCATCACGATGAATACTAGTTGACGGTTTAGGTAGTGGTATGTAAATCCAACTAGATTAAATAATAATGATTTAATAGTGCTAACAAAATTAATTATAAAAATTATTGTTCAATATATGCAATAGTTACACTGTACATAAACTAAGATTCATCACAAATTTGAAGGGCTTTAAACAAAATTGACGTGGTATATAATTCACCTTGTTAATAATGCAATACCACTCATGTTAATGTACACTATATATAATTATGCCATGAATCAGGTATAAATTACAAAGCATATTAAAATATTATTTGCTCCTACAAGTGCTCCTAGACGATAGCTAACATAAACTGAATAATATGCATGTGTATTAACATGTACTGTATATTATATGTATGTAAAACTGTAAAATTATTTTCATTTAATTGATTTTATTAATATGTGACACCGTGGTCAAAATATATGGTGATGACCGAAATGCGGACTTTTATTTTTAACTTTCGTTTTAACAACATTGTACTTCTCTCTCCCCCTCCCTCCCTCCCCCTCCTCTCTCTCTCTCTCTCACTCACTCACTCACTCACTCATTATAATACATACTGAGAGCGCCCAATATATATCCGCCGCACATACAGGTGTTAGTTATGGTAATCCTGGCCATTGAGGTATGGAATAAATATTTCATATCGTTCATTGTGGGCCCGAATAGGCTCGATGTTAATCCCTATTCAAATGTTATAATTAATTAAAAAATAAAACTCAATAATTAATTCACAAATATTTACTTACATAACTTAAACAGCCAACTAATATACAAAATGTATAAACATATTTTTCACATGTTTGTAAAGTATTAATTGAATTTATATTAATACTTTTAGCAGAATAATCATCATCACAATTTTTAATATGTTCACATTCATTATTATTACAAATAGATTTACATTCATTACTTTTGTCGCTGTTATTGTACATACTTGCAAACTATACAAAATGCTATAACACTTTAATAACAAATTAAGATTGTAATAATTAAATAATTAATTATCTCGTCTAGATAAAATGGGATTAACGCAATTGCACGGTACGATCATTTTGAGACCTTTGAAGTTCTTTGTGATCCTGTTAAGTTTATTGGCTAAAGTGGTAGCTTATCTAAAAATATCGTATAATTGAACCCAAATAATTAGATGTGCTTTTAATTGGTATTGTATTGCAGTTAATAACACTTGAAATTGAAATGAATGAGTGAGAGGGGGAGGGGGAGAGAGATTTAATAGTATACTGTATATAATTTAACAAGTTACACAATATTACTTATCATACGAAATGAACGATATAATTAATAATAAAAAATATTTAGCGAGATAACTAATAAAAATTTAACAATAAAATATACAGTAAAATCAATTTGGTTAAATATTTATCCAAAAAGTAGCTTGATCATATTATCAAGAATATTGCTTTAATAATAAATATTCACTTTATATTTCATAGATGTTATACAGAGATGGCATTTATAAAGTGAGTACTTATTATAAAAATAATACATAATAAAA